ACTGTCGGGATATGACAGTAGTAACGTGTTTAACGATATTAGATATTAGGGTGTATAATCTTTTTTATTTTTTTTTCTCGGGGCATGACAAAAGTAACCTAACGTATTGCTCTATTTAGCGAAGAGTGACAGTTAGGTTTAATGTGTTTAACGATATTATGGTTATAATGCTTTAGTTGTTGGAGAATGACAGTTAGTATAATGTGTGTAAAGATATAAAATTATAATCTTTAAAGATCATATCATACATTATTAAGATATATTTTCGTAACCCTAAGAAGCAATAATTAAAACATTTTATTGTTGAAAACATCAGTGAAAAGTATCAAGAATTTGATAGGTGGTAATGTACTGCGAACAAAAGCATAAGAGTAAGGTCATGTTTCGTCATTCATTGTGACAGTTATGTATTAGTTCTGCTGCTTGTCTATTCTGGGAACCTTAAAGTCATGATACTTCTAAAACAACAAGGAAAGTGTTTGAGGAATCGTCTGAATGTGTCATGTAAGCGTTGTGTGTTATATAGAACTTTTTTCTTTTTTTCTGGTGTTATCAATATTGTTACTTCTCTGGTCGTTTGTTAATTACTCGTAAAAATTCTTTCCGAAGAACTTCAGAGATACAAGTCCTTTCTCAAATAAAACTAGTTTATTCTTTATTAATACAACTTTGCAATACACTTAATTTCCACAGTCACCTTAAGTTAAACACACGCTATAATTTACAACGAACGATTCACGCATTTTACTTACTACCGCGCTTGACTCAATTGTCCGTCTATATTTTCAATCCCTCTGTCTGCTATACCATTCCGATTAATTGTCTGGCGCAATTATATACAAGAATAGAGGGCGCCTAGTAAATACTGGATTATTCGTGATGTTCCCCGATCTCTCTAGAACTCATTACGTGTTACCAGAGTCACGTGACTTCCGTTGTGTAACAATATATACTGCTGATTTTCAACTGTAGTTGCTTCGTCCTGTAAACCGTATTACTGATTGCTGGAACAGGATGATGGTAGATAGACCAGTAAGCATTATCCGGTTTATTAATTAGACTGCAGATTAAAGTAAACTGTGTCGAATCGTCTTTCCCAGATAATAACATTTATCTGAACTGATGTTTCCTTGAAAATTTAAATTAACCATTTAACTTAGTTGCTAATGTCAATTATTTTAAACTTTGTTGTTTTGTTTTTTAACTTGCAGTTATTTTAATTTCATTAACATGCCTTGGTACGTGAATATTTGACCAACTTATCTTTAAAACAAGATTTTTCCTTTTTGATTTTATTTCCGGCTGTCATAATCTCATGAGCACGAGTTAATTATGAAATAATAATCAAAATTCGTGGTCGAATGTTTGGTATAGAAATTGAATTTTATCCTTTAAAACGCAATTAAACTCTTAAGATGAGGTCAGTAAATTTCTTTCGGTAATGGTAAGAATATTAACCTTTCATTTATTGCCATGGCAGAACTTTCACGTGATAAGTGGCGTCTTGATCAGTTGATAGAGCCATGATGTACTTTTAGAACTCTATGGTATTTAGGACTCCCATTTAAAGCCTTGGCAACCGACTGTTGTATGTACTGACGTTGACAAGAAACTTAATGTGTTTATATTTTAATATAATTGAGTATCGAGTTCTAAGTGGTTTTGATAACATGTTTATCGTATCTTAAAAAAAAAAAAAAAAAACGTGCTGGCTTTGTTTTATTCCTTTCAAAATAATCTTTATGTGGCATTGTATACAAGTAAAGCTGAATTACAGCTTTGTGTGTGTACTTAACAGACATTGTTCAAACATGGTCGATGTTTGTTGTATAAATAAACAGGAGAATTGATTTGAGCGCGGGATTACAAGCAGAATTATATTTATTTTTGCACCGTTAATAAATCATAAGCATACTAGTTTAGTACAAATGTTATTTCTAGATGGGCATTACTGATTAATGTGCAAAGCAACTTCCTGATAAGCCATATTACCAATAGCATATATCACCAGACGACATGTTATTTTTATAATGAATGTTAAGAAAGTTGGACGTTTGCCAATATTTTCCCGAACGATTTAAAGTGTCATATTTGTTTAATCCGTAAGCTACTAAGAGGAAATATAAGTACGAAATGGATGAAAAAACCGGCCATTCTAAATACGTGTAAAAAATTAGTTGTATTTATTAATCACAGATAACTGAAAAATATGCCAAATTTTCCCCATGCATGCTAATAGTTCCATATTTCCATGAATTAAAATTTTAGCATATTTCATTTACAAACGCTGAAGATTACAAGTTATCTATTGCTAAAAATATGTTAGAGATTGATTAATTATTGGTGTCTTGTGCCAAAAAACATCGACTTGTTCTTACTGTATTTGGATGATTTGGTGAAACGTCATCAGCAAGTGACTGAGGATACAATACAATCGACTTTTTAAAACGAGTACCACAACAAACACAATCATAATTACAGTATAAACGCCGAAATCTAGCGAAGCATTTGAAACAAATACGCGATTTTTTAAAGAAAGCACGTAAATTGTATATATATATTTTGGATTCCTCCCAATTTGTTCATTTCGTATTCAAAATCAGAGGCATGTAAAATAAAATACCCAGAAGCGGAGCTAGGCGTAAATTGGAGTTAAGCATGAAGAAGGGGATTTCCTCCTCTAGCTGGTAGAGTCCACCCCCAGATAGTTTTAAAACTTAAACCTGAAATGACAAATTCTTTTTTTTTATCTGAGTGTATGATTTGTATAAGATTAACCATACAGGCAACATGAAGTATTAATTAACCATACAGGCAACATGAAGTATTGTAAAAAATTACATTTTGATCACTGGCATTTTGGAAAGAAAACAGTTACATTATGATTTTATAAAAAGAAAATTCGTATTTGGAATTTTCTATTATGCACTGGCGTACGTGGGTATGCCTAGCTATGCCCCTCATACTTAACTGTTGCCCCTCACAAGGCACTAACCAAGAGGCTTGTTGGAGGCAAAAGATAGACTGAAATGCTATTTTTAAACACCTCCGATTTTGAATCCGAAATTAACTCAGTAAGAGGAATATGGGGTTAAAAAACTACAATTTACATGATGTGAATCTTTATTATTATATCTTCCTTATATGAAGGAATTTTCAAAACCTCCCCACCCACATCTTTATTTATTTGATCATTTTTATGGAAGCATTTAATAAGAGATTGACAATCTGTAAGATGTGTAAAACGAAAACTTGAAACGTTTTTCGATAAAATAACTGTATGCAGAATTAGCATTTTTCAGATTGGTAAACTTAAATTGTCTTTGTAATTAATCAACGAAATAGCTAAAGTTATGTTGCTTTAATCTCAACACATTTTTCAAAAGTACTTGTAAATT